CGCGGGTGAACCAGGAAGCCGGACAGGATCGCCTCAACGTGATTTCGCTTCTCCCAGGGACCAAAAGAAGTTTGAATGCCGCGAGGGATCAGAGGCGTTGTTTACCAGCTTGCAACATATCCCTATCCCTATGCTGGGCATCGCCTCATCACGATGGCGATCTTAGGGATTCCCTCAGTTTTTGAAGGCGCATCCCTACGATTGCCACCGCCTTTCGGCGCGTCAATCTTGGGGATAGGGAGGCTGGTGAGTGGTGGCGTAATACCGCTCCGGGTGCTCTGGCTGGGGCACCCTGCACGCCTCGCGTCCTGCAGGCCAGCTCCGCCTGCGTCCCCCGAGTGGCGATGGTGCGCTTCTTGCTCCCAGTCTCCACAAGGTCGCCTCGGCGCGACTCGAGGCCCCGCAAGCATGGACTCCGATAGACCAGAGCATCGGCGCTCTGGCAGGGGCATCCTGCACGCCTCGCATCCTGCAGGCCAGCTCCGCCTGCGTCCCCCGAGTGGCGATGGTGCGCTTCTTGCTCCCAGTCTCCACAAGGTCGCCTCGACGCGACTCGAGGCCCCGCAAGCATGGACTCCGACAAGCCAGAACATCGGCGAGCCCGGGCACGACTGCAGGCAGCCGGGAGCCCACGCGTTCTCCAGGATTCGTTCTCGCCCGCTCGAGTGGTCAAGTCCTCGGTTTGCACTGCGGAAGGGGCCCTGGGCGTGTGAGTTTCTGAGAGCGTGGACTTGAGCTCGCTCAAGCTTCGCTCTGCAGGGGGGGGACGTTATTTCCGACGTCATTTCCGACGTTTTTCGGTATACGGGGATATTTCCGACGTCATGTCCAACGTTTGTCGGTACCCGGGGACAGGGGGGTGTAGAACACTCCACTTCCGGAACCCCCCCCCGGATCGGCAGCACTGGCCGGAGACCAGCCCAATAGACACAAATAAGAGGATTCCCTCTTTTGTTCCATCTTTTCTGGGTTTCTGTCTTCCCCCCACTGCCCATAGTTTCCCAGATCCTCTGGGGAATCGACGACTAATTGTGTCTGTGTGTTTCCCCCTCCTGAACTGTCCTCTCTTCTGCAGCCCTGGGTGCTTTCTCCTAGCCAACTCTTCGTCCTGAGCCGTTGTTAGACGGTCCTGACACGCACCGCTGCCTGACTGTTATTGTACCGCTTTGCCCGACACGCGCCATCCCCCAAAAGCATGCCCACAACTCACACCACATCCTGAGGCAGCCGGATCCAGTCTTAGGTCGGGCATGTCCTCCTACAGGACGAGAGATAACAATACCCAGAAAATGCAGCAGAACATAGGCAAACGTGTCCGAAATATCGTCCCCATATTATTTAAAACTAGTTGTTTACACTCTTCCCGTAGAGGGACACGCCCGACTTACACCCATTCATCTTCCACAATTCACGAGGCGAAGGAGAAGGGGAAGGAGGGGGGGCAGGAGGAGGAGGAGGAGGAGGAGGAGGAGGAGGAGAAGGAGCGGAGGATGAAGGGTTTGAGGAGGAGGAGAGGAGGAGGAGGAGGAGAGGCGGGGCGAAGGATGCAGGAGGAGGAGGAGGAGGAGGAGGAGGAGGAGGAGGAGGAGGAGGAGGAGGAGGAGGAAAAGGAGGAAGAGGAGGAGGAGGGAGGAGAAAAAATATAAAAAGGAGGACGGAGAGGAGGAGGAGGAAAAAAGGAGGAGGAAAAAGGAGGAGGAAAAGGAGGAGAAGGAGGAGAGGAGGAGGAGGGGACCCTTCCCGGCGGCCGCCCTCCTCGAAGAAGCCCGCCGGCGCGGGCCACGCCGCGGCCACGGGCCGCCGCCCCGTGCCCCAGCCGGCAGCGGCGAGCAGGCGTCGCCTTGGCCGGCTGAGGGGAGGTGCTCCTCCTCCTCCTGCTCCTCCTCCTCCTCCTCCTCCTCCTCCTCCTCCTCCTCCTCCTCCTCCTCCTCCCTCCTCCTCCTCCTCCTACTCCTCCTCCTCCTCCTCCTCCTCCTCCTCCTCCTCCTCCCCCTCCCCCTCCTGCTCCTCCTCCTCCCCCTCCTCCTCCTCCTCCTCCGCAGCAGCAGCAGCCATCTGTGGGGGGGCCACCTACCAGGCCACCCCAACCCAGGCCGAAGAGGACCATGACCAAGATTGACAGAAAAACGTCGTGTCGATCTTGGTCACCGTCGATCTTTGTCAGCGCCAAAGCGTGGATCATCCGCACGAAGCGGCGACGGCCGACGTGGACCATGACCAAGATCAGCATCGACAAGATCCCGCGACATCTTCGTTATGGTCCCCTGCTTCTGCCGTCGAATCCTGTGGTGCTGGAACCTCGTTCTGAATCAGCAGCGCCCCGCGTCTTCCACCTCCCACCACGACCCCTCCACTCCTTGCCTCCGCCCTCCGCATGGGTCCAGTTCGGCACACCCCTCACACGTCTCGTGACCGCGATGGGTGCATCGACTTCCCACGCGCTCCTATCTGGATGTCTGCGCAGAAGTGGATATGAATGTCAGCGACCCTGACAACGGGCGACTGAGTCTCACTGAGCTTGCGCGCGAGGAGCGTGGATGTGAATGGGTGTGGGTGCGAGTGATCCAGAGTATGTGTGGCCCGATATAAGCGAGTCGGTGTATGAGTGGGATTGAGTGCGATCAGCGATTAGCCGTTACTTGGGACTCCGGAAAGTTGGGTCCAGCGCATGTCCCCACAATCTGGGCGCGAAATGGCCCGTGCCATGCCCCCCAGCGCCTCCCATTGTGATGCCAAAGCGGCATGCCTGCCACATCGACGGGCTCTGCAAAGAGATTCGTACACTCAGACTCTAGACCCACAACGCTTGAGGAGGTCTCCAGCGAACAGCCCAGCGCACCCCAGTGGCACGCCTGGTGGTGCAGCGAGGAGGCGCCATGTGCGAGAAGGAGGCATGAGGGACGACGACCATAGAGGCCTCCCACACGGGGTCCGATTATAGAATGGGTCGGAGGATCGCGCCGCATTGCCGATGCATCGCCAATGCATCGGCGACGTCGGCAATGCATCGGCAACGCTGGCGTGGAGAGAGTCGGGCTCCACATCGAGTTGCATCCCCGATGCATCGGCGATGCGGCGCGATCCACCGACCCCATCCTCTGGGACCCCACTTGGGAGGTCCAGAGGAAAGATAGGGCGAGGGGCGCGAGGAGGGAGGAGGGACGCGCCAGGAGGGGAAGACGGCGGCGGCGAGGGGGCGAGAGCGCCTCTCGGCGGCCTCCTCGGCGCCCCCCTCAGCCGCCGGGGCGAGGGTCTCCTCGCCCCAGTCGGTGGCGTCTGGGTCCTCCGCCAGGGGGGGTCTTTGAAGGGCGCGGCAGGGAAAGGCATCTCCTTTCGGAGTGGGCTGCGCGTGCGAGGCTGGGGGGCTTCCGCGGCGGCCAAGGCACTCCTCCCACCTCCTCGTCGCTTCTCCCACCCTCACCCCTCGACTTCCTCCTCACTGCCTGTCTCCTCACAAGTCCCTTCTGCAACTGTACCCGTCGGTCGGAAGAAGTAGGTATAAACATGAAGTATGAAGGCGGATGAAGTAGATTGGGTCCAGTCCAGGCCCTCCCAGGGAACAACAAAACGCAGCAAAAGCGTGTCGATTCTTGAAGTAGGAAGGCGCTTGAAGTAGATTGGGATCTGGGAGCCCAAAAATACAGACTTTCAACGACCGTCGTGTAGGCGTGGAAAAGAAGCACACCCCTCTGGAGGCAGCGGCGTGCGGTCTCCCACGGAGCTTCTCGGCCACAACACCCGAGAGCTGCGGTCCCGTAGCGCACTGGGATGGGGGAGGCAAGCTCGCTTCAGACCACAGACAAAGCACCCTGGCCCTGACCACCCTGCGCTCGACATGTGTCTGTCTGCTGCTCTGCTGGCCCCCTTCTGCTCCCCTCATGCTGGGCACCTGCTCCTCCTGCCCCTGCTCCCTGTCTCTCTCCTCCCCCTCCTCCTCCTCATCCGTCCCCCCTCCGTCCTCCTCCTCCTCCTCCTCCTCCTCCTCCTCCTCCTCCTCCTCCTCCTCCTCCTCCTCCTCCCTCCTGCTTCCTTCCGCCGTCCTCCTCCTCCTCCTCTTCCTCCTCCTCCTCCTCCGCCTCCTCCTCCCCGAAAAGACTACATGCTGCAAGCGATATCTCAGGCTTCCCGCGGACTCATTAAGCAGGTGGCCCACGTCAGGGCGCATCAAGATATTAACAAGGCTGATCTTCATGATGACCTTCCCTTTAAACGTCAAGGCAATGACGCTGCAGACCACGCTGCTAAACACGCACTGCCTCTCCATCCGCGGCCAGAGGAGGCCTTGTCGTCATAGCTCGCGGAGAAGTTAGAGTACAGCCGTGCGCTTTGTCTTCTAAGCATGTCTGCTTCTGTGGAAGCCGCTCTGAGAGTTCGATGCCGTCGATAAAGTCGGCACCCTCGGGCCTTCAACGGTCCGAAGCCCACTTCGCCGCATGCTCGGGTGTACGTGGGCAATTTCTGGCGCTGCCCCGCATGTTGTCGCGTCAGCAGTTCGGGCTGGCCGAGGAAGCTCCCCCTCGTCCGAGTGTCCCGGTTCCCTGGGCGCAGCCTTCCTCGGGCTCCAGGGCCCGGGCCACAATGGCATCGTCTTGCCCTACAGTGATGGGTTCGCACGGCAGGATCCCGGCATCGCCCGCCCGCTGCGGCCGTGCCCATCGCGGGTCCGCAAGTGGGCGTGGTCGAAGATCTGTAGGGAGGAGGAGGAGGAGGAGGAGGAGGAGGAGGAGGAGGAGGAGGAGAGGAGGGAGGAGGAGGGAGGAGGAGGGAGGAGGAGGGAGGAGGAGGAGGAAGGGGCGAGCACCCTGAGCGCCCCTCGGATGTCGGCTGAGTGCCTGGCTGATCTCGGCGCCGAGCACCCGCGGCCTCGTGCGCTCCGCACGCGAGCGCCGGCACACTCGGAGGCAGGAGATGACAGGATGGAGTCCGGCGCCGCTTCCTTGCCCGCCGGTGCGAGGCGGGCTCAGGGTACAGTCATCGGCCTGACCGAAGGAACGATGAGTAAGGAACGAAGCCTTTTCTCTCTAGGAATATCGCACAAGGAACGGTAAATAGCAAATGACGCATGAGGGTCGACAAACAACGCATGCGAGCCTAAGGAACGGCCGAGCCCCTTTTGAAAAGCAAGTGTTTCATATTCAAGCCGCTCGCTGCAGTGGGGGGGGGCGGGTGGGAGGGAGGTCGGGTCAGAAATGTAACTCCCCTGCCAATCGAGGGGCTGGCCCTCACCTCTTTGTTTACGTTCGCGCGCAGTGTCGCTCGTTCGTTCAGGTCTCGAGCCAAACGATCTGGACTTGTGCCGCTATGGTCGCCGACCCAGAGGCAACTTCACACAACACCCAGCGGTTGAAAGGAAAAACAAACACCTCATCCTCCTCCTCCTGCTCCTCTTCCACCTCCACATATTCCATCCCCTTTCCTTATAAAAGACTTCCCCTTGTCGCACCCCGAGGCCAACTTCAGGGGCGGACCGGGCGCCTCGCCTGAGACTTCCGCACCACTAATGACCCTGAAGCTTAAACAAGGACAACAGCTTCACAGATGGAGGACGGGTGGTTTTCCAGATGTGGCTCTCGCCTAAGCGCCGCGCGAATCGTTTTAAGATGTGCGAGAGCGTCACGGATTGAAGGCGCCTGGTTTTCAAATTGTGGCTCTCGCCTGAGCGCCGCGCACAATCGTTGCAAAACACTGCAAAAGTTTAGGGGATTGAGGGCGGTTCATTTTCAAAATGGTGCTCTCGCCTTAGCGCCGCGCTCATCGCTTGCTAGTTCTAACAAAAATGCAAGAGCGTCACGGATTGAAGGCGACTGGTTTTCAAAATGTGGCTCTCACCTGAGCGCCGCGCACAACCATTCTAACAAATTGCAAGAGCTTCAAGAATTGAGGGCGGTTCCTTTTCAACATAGTGCTCTCGCCTTAGCGCCGCGCACACTCGTCTTTTTCAATTGGCACGAACTTCACGGATTCCCATGATCAGCGTATCAGAAATGATGTCTTGGCAAGATTCAGGATTACGCATGAGGGTGCAACAGTTACATTGTTTCGCGGTGTTGAAGTCCTAGGAATGGCGTTCTGGCACGATTCAGGACCGTCAAGACGCAACAGTCAAGTTGATCCGTGGCGTTGGAATCTCGAGAACAATGTTTTGGCATCCTTCAGGGTCTTCAAGCGGTTGTCCTCCAGCGAGGCAGTTCCCTCAGTGGAAATTACCCGTCGCAGGAGCCTATGAAAAGGGAGCTTGGAGTGAGGGTGTATTCCAACATCGTTGATGACTCATGGGTTTACACTGGTCTTCCTCCTTTTCCTCCTCCTCATCCCGCCTCTGACCAGCATCATCAAACTCATCATGCAGCATCATCAGCAGCAGCATCATCCGCATGAGCATCATCCTCATAAAATCTGCATCATCCTCATCAATAGCAGCATCACCAGATCAGCATCATCATCATCAACGTCATCATCAACATCATCATCATCATCATCATCATCATCATCATCATCATCATCAGCATCATCATCGTCATCACCCCTATTGTCATGACCACCAGAATCATCACCACCGTCGTCATCAGCATCATCAGCAGCATCATCAGCAGCAGCATCACCATACTCATCATCAGCATCGCCGTCGTCACCATCACCATCAGTCATCGTCGCCATCATCAGCATCATCATCAGCAGCGTCATTAGCATCAGCAGCATCATCATGCTCATCATGGCTATCATCATCAGCAACATCATCATCATCATCAGTATCAGCATCATCTGTATAATTGTCCTCATCACCACCATCAGCATCATCATCAGCACCGTCGTCACCAGCATCAGCAAGCAGCCGCAGCCGCAGCAGCAGCAGCATCCGTGCCATCACCACCAGCATCATCATCATCAGCCTGCCCATCATCAGCATCAGCATTACCATCATCAGCATCATCATAAGCAGCATCACCAGCATCATCCTCAGCAGCAGAATCGTCGTCGTCGTCATCAGCATCGTCATACACATCATACTCCTCATTAGCGTCGCCAATGTCCTCCTCCAAATCACAACCACCACTACCATTACCACCACCACCATCATCACTACCATCGCCACCACCACGACTGTCATCATTACCACCACTATCACAACCACCATCATCATCAGCATCATCATCATTAGCATAATCAGCAGCAGCAGCATCAGCATCATCATCATTAGCATCATCATCGTCGTCGTCCTCATCATCATCAGCAGCAGCATCAGCATCAGCATCAGCATCATCACCAGCATCCTCATCATCACCATCAGCATCAGCAGCATCATCATCATCATCATCATCATCATCAGCATCAGCATCAGCAACAGCATCAGCATCATCAGCATCATCAGCATCATCAGCATCATCAACAGCATCATCAGCATCTCTGCTCCTCCTCCTCCTGCTCCTGCTCCTGCGCCTCCTCCTCCTCCTCCTCCTCCTCCTCCTCCTCCTCCTGCTCTGCTGCCGAGGACGGCGCTCCGCTGGCACCTCGCGCCTCGCGCCCCCCCCACCCTCTTCCAGTGTCCTGCATCTTCGCCTCCGTCGCTCGCCCTCGTCCTCGCCGCCCGCCGTTCGCCTCCGTCGCTCGCCTCCGCCATTCGCCTCCGTCCTTCGCCGTTCGCCTGCGTCGTTTTCCCTCGCCCTCGCCCTCGCCCTCGCCCTCGCCCTCGCCACCGCCGCCGCCGAAGGCCACCGAGGCCTGCCCGAGAGGCCGCCGCCCGCGGGGGGTGGGCCGCCGCCGCTCCTTGTTCTCCCACTGGTCGTCGGGGTCCTCGTTGTTCGGGGCGGTCTCGAAGTCCACGTCTCCCCCGCCCACGGGGCACGCCTCCTCCGCCGCCTCCTCCTCCTCCTCCTCCTCCTCCTCCTCCTCCTTCCTCCTCCGCCTCCTCCTCCTCCTCCGCCTCCTCCTCCTCCTACCTCCTCCTCCCCCCCCTCCTCCCCCTGATCCTCCCGAGGGCCGGGGGCCGCCAGCCGAAGGCGTCCTCTCTCCCGCGGCCCCCTCGGGGAGGAGGAGGGCTCGAGCAGGAGGCCGAGGCCTCGGGGTCACTGCCCGGGTGGGCTGGGCCACGCCTCTCGGGGGCTGCCTTGGGGGTGCAATTACGGTTGGGATCGTTTCCATTGTTGTAATGGTTGTTACCATAAGGTCGTCTGGGATATCATCGTCGTCATTGTTCAAGCATCCGGGCCCCCCTCTCGGAGGCCTCGGAGAGGCCGTGTGTCTGGGCGACCAAAAGTGGGCCCCTCGCCGGCTGCTGCGGGGAGGGGGAGGAGAGAGGGAGGTCGGCCCTCCGAGGTGGCCGAACACACGGCCTCCGAGGCTTCCGAGGAGGGGGGGGGCCCAGGATGCCCCCAAGGCAGCCCCGAGAGGCGTGGCCCAGCCCACCCAGGCAGTGGCCCCGAGGCCTCGGTCCTCCTCCCCGAGGGAGCCGCGGGAGAGAGGAGGCCTTCGGCTGGCGGCCCCCGGCCTTCGGGAGGATCAGGGGGAGGAGGGGGGGCGGGCCAAGATGCCCTCGAGACAGCACTGTGGGGAGCTCGGACACACGAGCCAGCGCCAGACCGCCGGGAGCATCCCCTCCAAGAAGGGCACACCAACCGGAGACTTCTAAGAGACGTCGAAGGTTATGGCTTCGACGAGTCGGCACCGATCGTTGCAATTGGTTGTCGGTCCTTCTTGGTGTCACCTGGGGGTCGGGCGGTCTTGGAAGCCCCCTGGAGGCCTATGGGAGTCTATGCGGCACGAAATGCGTGCAGCGTGAGACGAGTTGGCATTGGCCCAGCTGGAGAGGGGAACTGTTTGAGGGTTGTGCCGACTTGAAGCTTCTCTACGCCGTCTTAAGGAGCCAGCTGAAAGCCTTCTGGGTTCCACGGGGCAGGAAGTGCGTCAGGGGTCCCAAACGGAGGCTCAGAGAAGCCATCCTGAGGAGCCGGTGACAGGAGACCGACGACCGTGATATTTCCTCACTGTGCCACCTTAAGCTAGACAGCTGGCCAAGAAGTTGTTGCATCGGCTTTCACACAACAAAAAAGACACGCTTCATAGCCATTCGCACTACTACGCCGATGGGACGCAGTTCTTGCACATGTCAGAGTAAGCCCAGACCTGTTACCTTCATCCGAAGCGCATTCCCCGGCACGTGCTACCCATCAAGATTTCCCACGTTTCGAAATAGGTGCTCATCGTCATGCGAAACTCACCATTACGCATCTCTCGGCGCCGCGAACATATACGACCCGGATCCTACCAATTACTCCTCACCCACTAAGACACGACAGCCTTACATACGACTGTAGTGAAAGCCCTACACATTATTCCTCATTACGTTTTCAATGATGGCAAGCGGTACTTCAAATAACTTCATCCTGGTAGCTGGAAGCAGCAGGGCTCCCTGCTTTCTCACCGCTGACTGCTCCCTACTATCCCTCCACGCTCATTAGTCAACATCATTGATGGTTGCCCATTTACTTTACAACTCTACAAGGTCTGCACATGTCAGTTGAACTCAGCTAAACTGAATTACCCAGAGCGCAAGTAGCTTATACCATGCTAAGCTAAGCGAAGCAAAGCTGGGCAATGCTAGGCTGGCTAGAACTGGTCAGCACAAGTTGGTATGTGCAAGTGCACGTCACCAGCTAAGTACACTAGACGTGCAGACGGATGGGGATACTGTTTCCTGTTACTTGATGCAAATGAACCTGAATGCGCTATGCGCCAAAGACTGGTGAAACAGCGCGGCCACACCCTCCGCGAACATCCCTGGAAATGCCTCCTTCAAGATCACCAGCTGACTCCCAACTGTGACACATGAGTTTCTCCATACCTGGACCTGCCAACTTCCTCCTTCACCCTCCTACTGCAGCCTCCTCATAAAGCGTGTCCCATGTGCAGATTCTCCCCCCCTCGAACTGCCTGCGAATGTGCCTTGCACCCCACCAGCCCCACCCCTGACCCACCAGCGGTTGCCCTGAGGACAGTGTGGAAGAAGTGCATCGCGCCTCCCGCAATCCACATGCAAATCATAGTCTTCGTGAACCGGTTGACAACCTGGTGGCGGAAGGCCCCGCGCGAAATTGCACACGCACACACTCATACACACACGCACACCCACCCACCCACCCACCCACCCACCCACACACACACATACATACACACACACGCACACAGACGCACAACACGCACGAAACGCCATGCACACAGACACACACACACACATACACACAAACACACACACACACACTCACACGCACACACACTCTCTCTCTCACACACTCACACACTCACACTCATACTCACATACACACACAAACACACACACACCAACACACACACACACACACACACGCACGCGCATACCGCCACTGCGACGTTCTTCTTCCTCTCTCCACAACTGCCCCAACCCCGCCCATCCTCCATCTCCATCTTTCCATCCTGTTCGCAGCTGCCAGTGCACAGCCCAGCGTCATTAAGAATACGATCATGGGCCCCCACCGGAAGACCAGCGCGGGGGGAGTAAGCAGAAGCAGGGACGACGATGGAGGTCGCCCGTCCACTCCTCCGACAGCCTACTGTTTCCCAACCCTCCTCTATAAGATACCGTCTCACCAGGCGCGAAACACTGGGCATGATCTCTGTCGCAAAACTGTTGGGATGATGAGCCCCTCAACCAGCGAGCAGATTACCATCCCTTCGATGATCGAAAAGGCAACAACAAAAGAGCCCTAAGGAGTAACAGCATAATTAAGCGTAACGAACAATCACAACTTGCGGCCGAGGGCCTTAAACAGCACAACTAAAGCGCAACGGAACAATTAAAGAGTAACGAGATCTTTCAACTGTACTGTTCGTGCAGGAAGGGCCACGGGAGACGATGCGGGAGATAATCCGGGAGGCCATCTGCGAAAGCGTGCAGGAGACCACAAATAAGACGATGCGGAAAACCGTACGGAATACCATACGCAAGACCATACGAGAGATCATTTTGGAGACCATACGTGAGACCACTCGGAAGACCGCCTGGGAGATCAGACGGGCGACCACGCGGAAGACCAGCACACGCGAGCACATCAAGCCACCGTTCCCTGGGCCAGCCACGCCCCCCCCCCACCGCTTCCAGGGCCGGCAACGCCCCCCCCCTTCCCTCCTCAGCCCGTCATTGCGATCCACGAACACACATCCCTTCCAGACAAGCTCTTCGGGGAACAAGGACATGTATAGCTCTGGGCGGTGTCCCACCGCTACGGTGAGCCTCCTACGGGCCACGAAGGGCGACGGTGATACCCTCGTCCAGCCCCGCTGGCACTCTGGGGTGCGAAAAAGCCGGGGCGTGCACGGACCCAAAGCTTCTCCAGGGCTCGCATCTGCCCAAGAGAACACTGGTTTTGCAACGTTCGGTGGATCCCCCAGTAATCCGCTAAAACGACTACAAGACAGCTCCAGAAGGGGCCAACGGTCCTCCACAGGCGAATCAAAGCATCGGGAGCGGCCAAGAGGGGGGTGTCCAAGAGGGCGGGGTGCAAATCATGACCGGCGGCGTGTGCGCGGCCCACGCAACGGAGCAAGAAGAGGCGCCATGAAATCCGGGGAGATATCCTGGCCCCTGCCATGATATCGATCCGCACCTTCCTGTGCAGGTTGGGGCTATCGGGCCCTTATCAGCGATCAATGGGAGATTCTGGGTCGTTGCATCCCCCCAATGCCTATCCCCCCTTATGAAGCAAGAAGAGGCGCCCTGAAATCTGGGGAGATATCCTGGACCCCGCCATGATGTTGCCCCCCCCTAGTCATCACCCCCCTCTTTGCCGCCCCCGAGCGAAGCAAAGCAGGCCCCCCTATGCCCCCCTATGCCTCCCCCTATGCCTATCCCCCCCTATCGTTGTCCCTGATACAAGACAGCTCCAGAAGGGGCCAACGATCCTCTACAGGCGAAGTTAAGCAGGCCCCAAAGGGTCACGGGTGGCCCGGGACTGCCCCGGAAGAGGCCCCTCAGGCCCAGGGGGCGGAGCCCAGCACTGCACAAGAGTGAAGGGGCCCTGGGACACATAAATGAATACACACAAATAGAAAGATCCCCAATATTTCCCTATATTTTCTAGGTTTTTGTCTTCCCCCCCACTTCCCATAGTTTCCCATATTTTCCTGGGAGTGGACGATTAATTGTGTCTGTGTGTTTTCCCCTCCTGACTGAAGGAGCCCCCAGGCGACCCGAGAAGGCCACAAGGCTGCCCAGGGCCCCAAGACTGCCCCAGTGCCCGCCAGGATCCCAGGCAGACCACCAGGGCCAAGAGTGTCCAAGGAGCTTCAACAGGAAGATTCCTGGAACTCCAAATCGTCCTGCTCGTCTTCGCCTTTGCTTGACCTCATTCGTTCCGTCCCCCTACCCTCTGCCGTGCCCCTGCCGGCAGCTTCCGGTGCAGACCCCCCCTCCCAAGAAGGCAAGCTGGCCGCACCAGCCATGGCACGCTCTGCGCAGACATGGCAGACTGCATGGCCGTGGACGTCTGGCCCACCAGGGTGCGGTGGCCGTGCGGGGTGTCTGCGCCGTCGCCGGCAGAAAGAGGCATAAGAAGCCGAAGGGAGAGGAGGGAAGCGACGTCGAGGAAAAGGATGGAAGTCCAGGGAGGGTGACAGGGGAGAAGGGGGACGCGAGAAGGGGGGAGAGGGTGGAGGAGAAGGAGGAGGGTAGAGATGGGCATGAGCAGGCAGGAGACGAGAAGGAAGGGTAGGCGAGGGGGCGATGATGGCGATGCGGGGGGGGGGGCAGAGAAACAGGGATGAGGCTCGCACAGAACTGGCCCACAAGGGTGCGGCTTCCCACGACAACGCATAACACTGATCAGACATCAACAGGTTGCAGAATCGACGAATGGTCGCAGCAGCTAGCCCTTTTCAAAAGATGGCCGGGCGGAAGGCATGGCCGAAGACACGCCATACGTTCGCAGTCGCGCCGACTGTAAGGCAAGAGACAACTGGACCCACAGCATCACCCTGGACACGAGTGACTCGTCTCTCTCTCTCTCGGCTGGGGAAGACGGGGGAGGAGCGAAGGAGGGGGGATGCGGGGAGAGGGGAGGAGACGGAGCAGGCGGAGGAGGAGGAAGGAGGGGGGGGAGGAGGAGGTGAGGAAGAACTGCAGCAACAAAAGGAAGCACGTATCATGTGGCCACAAGGCGCAGCCAAGAGAGCCGCGCTTGCCCCAGGCCCAGCCACGACTCCCCACTCATGAAAGCGAGCCCGCCGACCCACGGGAGACGGGCTGGAGCCACAGTGCATCGCCCTGCGTACGCGCCCCACAAGGGGGGGAGGGGCGGGGGGGGGCGGAGGGGGGCAGACATCATGCGTGGACCCAATCCCTGCGCAACTAGAGGCGGCGCCAGCCTGGCAACCTGTCGCTTCCAGCCGCGGCCACAAAACAGCCCCTGAGGGACGTACAGGTTGGTAAGGGCGCGTCCGCGGGAGTAGTGGGAATCACCGTCACCAACATCATCGTCGCCCTCCTCCTCCTCCTCCTCCTCCTCCTCCTCCTTCTCCTCCTCCTCCTCCTCCTCCTCCTCCTCCTCCTCCTCATTGTCGTTCCCTTTGTCTTCATTCTTACTCCTCGCTCCCGTCCTCCTCGTTGTTCTCCTCATCATCCCCATCTCCGTCGTGGATGGGGCCGTCCCCCTTCTCGCCTCCTTTCTATATGTTTCTGACTCCTCGTCATTACCTCGCATCCTGCTCGACCGCCAATGGAATCCTGCACCGTCCTCAGAGTCACCGTCCTCGGTGTCGCCGTCGTGCTCTGCGTGTCACAATGCCTGTCCTTCCCACGCTCGTCGTTCACTGCATGCTCAATGTCAGGCTTACATCATTGCGGCCTCACCATTGCGTCGCGCTCCTCATTCCCACCCTCCTCCTCATCCTCCCCCTCATCCTCCCCTCCTGTTCCTCCACCTCCTCCTCCTCCTCCTCCTCCTCCTCCTCCTGCTGTTCCTCCCCCTGATCTTCTTCAGTGTTCGTCCTGCGCCCCATCCACCTCGTCGTCCTCCTTCTTGTCTTCATCCTCCACATCGCCGTCGCCCTTGCCATCGCCACCCGCCTCCCGGCCACGGCATCCATCCTGCCCGTCGCCTCATGCAGCATCCTCCGCCCAATCCCGCCGCCTGCGTCGTACCTCGCAATCTTCGACGCCGATGGATCATTTTGTTCGAGCTTGTCCTGGGTGAAGATGTTCAGGTACCCGACCGTCCGAAGCCGAAGAGGCAGGAGGTCCCCCTCGTGCGGCCTGCAGGCTTAAAATATCCACCGGCCGCTCTGCCCGTCTCTGTGTCTGCCTGCCTGCGTGCCTCCCTGTCTGTCTGTCTCTCTCTCTCTCTCTCTCTTTCTCTCGTTCTCTATCTCTCTCTCTCTCTCTCTCGCTCGTTCTCTGTCTCTCTCTCTCTCTCTATTCATCTCGCGCTCCCTCTCTCTCTATATATATACACGTATGTTTATATAGAATGATACCAGAGAAAAAAAAACAATCTGTATTTTGGGGGGGCTATGGGGCTTTAGGGCTTTAGGGCTATGGGGCTATAGGGTTATAGGGCGATGTGGCCATAGGGATATAGGGCTAGAAGCCTTTAGGGCTATGGGGCTATAGGGCTACAGGGCTATAGGGATATAGGGCTGAGGGCTATAAGGCTATTCGGGCTATAGGGCTATAGGGCTATACGGCTATATACGGTTATAGGGCTTTAGGACCATAGGGCTATAGGGCTATAGGGCTATAGGGCTATAGGGCTATAGGGCTATAGGGCTATGGGGCTATGGGGTTATTGGGCTATTGGGCTATTGGGCTATAGGGCTATAGGGCTATACGGCTATAGGGTTATAGTGCTATAGGGATAGGGCAATTGGGCTATTGGGCTATAGGGATATAGGGCTATTGGGCCAGGCACCCCCGGGCACTTCTGGGCACCCCGGGCACCCGGGCACCCCTGGGCACCCGGGCACCCGGGCACCCCCGGGCACCCCCGGGCACCCGGGCACCCGGCCCCGGCCACCGAAATCGGCCACACACCTGGGCACCCGGGCACCCCCGGGCACCCCCGGGCACCCGGGCACCCGGCCCTGGCCACCGAAATCGGCCGCCCACCTCACCTCAGCTTTATAGCCGCTAGGACCCCTACAGAGGCAAGCTCTGATTGGGGAAATATAGATATGTAGAACTACCTCTCTGTAAACATGTAGCAGTATGTATATACAGACACATATATATATATATATATATATATATATATATAGATGCCTCCCTCCCTCCCTCTCTCTCTCTATATATATATATATGTACGTATGGATCCCTTCCTCCCTCTCTCACACTCTCTCGCTATCTCTCGGTCTCTCTCCATATCCCTATTTACCTCTCTCTCTCTTTCTCACTCTCTTCCTCTCTCTCTCTCTCTCTCTCTCTCCCTCTCCCTCTACAGTCATACGTATGTATAACTGTGAATGTACGTATGCCTCTCCCTCTCACGCTCTCTCTCTCTCTCTCACTCTCGCTCCCTCCCCCCCTCCCTCCCTCCATCCCTCTCTCCCTGCCCGCATTCCCGCCTGCTCGCATGGCTGGGTGGCTCGCTCGCTTGCTGGATCGCTCGCGTGCTGGCTGCATGTGTGGCTCCCTAGCCCATCCCCTGGCTGCTTGGATCACCGCTTTATCAAGGGCGGTGGACTCATCCCTCTTTCTCGCTCCTCTCTACCTTCTTTCTCTCTCGCGCTTTGTCTCTCTCTCTCTCTCTCTTTCTCCTTCTCTGGATCGCAATCGCTGTCGCCATTCTCCCTCTCTCTCTCTCCCTCTTGCTCTCCCCCTCTCTGGGGCCCCCCCCCCGCGGCCGCGGTCTGGGCGTAGCCCCAAAAAGGCCGCCTCCCCGAGGCTTGCAATGAAAAACCCTCCTGGTGGGGTGGATACCCTCTGTCCTCGTCCTCGTCCTCGTCCTCGTCCTCGTTCTCCTTGTCCTCTTGTCCTCCACGTCCTCCTCGTCCTCCTCGTCCTCCTCGTCCTCCTCGTCCTCCTCGTCGTCGTCCTCCTCCTCCTCCTCGTCCTCCTCGTCGTCCTCCTCCTCCTCCTCCTCCTCCTCCTCCTCCTCCTCCTCCTCCTCCCGCGAGTGTGACCGAGCGGCACCTGCCGCCCTCTGCCTCCCGCCACGAGGCGTGTCCTCCGGCAGAGGGCCCGCGCCGACGCGCTAAGTATATCCTCGGCTCCGATGCGCCGCCGAGCAGAAGCCACACAATGGGCCCCCGAGGGACGCGCGCATCGACGCGCCCCTCGCGCCAGAGAGGCACTCACAGCGCCGCTCCCACACACACAGAAAGGACTACTGTACCGCACCATCTAAGTATGTCGACTGGGCGGCAGAGCGCGACTGATGCACCATGCACGCGCCGCTCTTCGACTGCAATCCTGCTGTTCTGCGCCACGATGCTCGCGTGGATCCACACCGCCTCACGCAGTGGCTGAGGGCGCACACACCCTGCGGAGTCCCAGGCGACGGCCGCAGAGGCGCCCGCCTGGACCAACCCCTGGCGCCCGCGCGCCCAAGAGGGTCACAAGGAGATGTCCTCCGTGACGTGCTTCTGCACGAGCTTCGAGCTGACCTCCAAGCCCTCCGTTTGCACACCCACGCGCTCCTCCAGGACATCTGCACCGGTGTGGGAGCCCTCCGCGTCGTCCCTGCAACTGCCCGCATCACAGCTCCTGGCGGTCAGCCAGCCACCTCCGCCCGGGCCGCTGCCGTCTGCGCTGATGGCCCCATCGACCCGTCCGCCCCAGCTGCAATGCAGGGTCCCCCCACCCCTGGCCTGCGCAGGCCGCAAGCACGAGGGGTTCCGTGGCCGACGACGACGACGAGGACGAGGGCGACGAGGAGGGCACCCACCTACCCTCGCTCGTTCGCCCTGGCCACCGCAGCATGGACGGCCAAGTGCCCTCCGCCGCTGGTCTCGACGTGCGCTGGGCGACGGCGGTGCTCGGCACCAGCACCTAGTTCAGGCGGGTCCTCCTCGGAAGACCCCCAAGGCCGCCGCCCATCCTGCCCCGTCGCCCGCTGCTGCTGGTGGCGCTGCACGGGCCGTGCTAGCGCTCCATGGCGCGATCGCCTGGCCTCTGCGGCCCCTGACCGATAGCCTCCGTCAGGCCTTCGCCCATGCCGTCACCTCTGGCCCTTGCGGGCGCCACCTTCCGATCCACTCGATGAACCCCTGCGGCCATCGCCTCACGCCTTGCCCGTCGACCACGGCTCCGCACCGTCGGTCGTGGGTTAAGCCGCGTCGTGGGCCGCAGGTCGTCGCGTTGTGCATGGTTGCCCTGGGCGCAGCCAGTCTGTCGGGTCGGCCGTCGAGCCGAGCCCCTGGAATACTACAGCGAGGAAAAAGATGCGGTTGTCGCTTCCACTGCACTTCCCCTCCCATCTCTGCACACTGGCACTCGTTGCACCCGCCATCGCTGTGGACGATAACGCGGGCGAGGATTCAAAACCCCGCGGCCCCTTCCTACCCATCACCCACTGGCTCTGAGGGCGCCCGCACGGCTGGGCCATCAAGCCCAAGCCGTGGCGGAGACGCCCCCGGTCCATAGCACACTGCGCTAAAGCTCCTCCAGGGTCCAGGAGCCTCGAGCGACGCCAGCGGCTTCCACAGCTCCCAGCGGCGCCCCCGCAGCGGCGGGATCCGCCGGACACCGCGGCGAGCCCGCGACTGGGGGCCGCGGCCTATGGCGTCAGCCCTGCGGACCTGGCCGCCCCACGCCACAGGCACGCGCGGGCCGTCCGATCCCCCCCTGCCCCCCAGGCGCTGGAGGGGGAGCGCCAGGAGCGGCAGTCCAACGACGACTCCCACGTCGAAGCCTGCACAGACGCATGCGCCTTCAACTCCAACTTCGGCACCTGCACCGACGTCCGCACAGTGGACTTCTGCATCGGCGCCTTTATCGACGCCAGCATCATCGACTCCTGCATCGAAAATGGCACCGTCGATCCCGTCGGCCTTAGCATCGAGGCCAGCATCAACGCCTCCATCGACTATTCATGCATCGCATCGCTGCCCCCGTCGTCCTTGCCGCTACTCGCGGTGCAGCTCCCGCCGGTCAGCCAGGCCCTTCCGCTAGAACTGCCGCCATCTGCGCTGCTGGTCCCACCGACCCGTCCGCCCCAGCTGCGGTACAGGTCTCCCCTCCCCCTGGCCCTCGCAGGCCACCGGCACTCTGGGGTTCGAGGCCGACGACGACAATGAGGATGAGAACTACGAGGAGGACACCAACTTCCCCTCGCCTGACAGCCCTCACCACCTCAGCAGGCACGAACAAGCGCCCTGGGCTGCTCGTCTCGACGTGCACTGAATGCTGGCGACCCTCGGAGCGACCACCTGGCTCTTGCGAGTCCTCCTCTGGAGGCTACCCCAGGCCGCCACCCACCCTGTACCGTCGCCCGCTGCTGCCAGCTACGCCGCCCGCGCTGCGCTTGCGCTCCCTGGCGCGACCACTCTGTCCGCGAGGCTCTGCCATGCTGTGCCCCGCGCCGTCACCTCTGGCTGGAATGCCTTCCCCAGGCCACAGTGGCAGGGGGAGGAGGAGGAGGAGGAGGAGGAGGAGGAGGAGGAGGAGGAGGAGGAGGAGGAGGAGGAGGAGGAGGAGGAGGAGGAGGAGGAGGAGGAGGAGGAGGAGGAGGAGGAGGAGGGAGGAGGAGGAGGAGGAGACGAGGAGGAGGAGGAGGAGGAGGAGGAGGAGGAGGAGGAGGAGGAGGGGGAGGAGGGGGAGGAGGTGGAGGAGGTGGAGGAGGAGGAGGAGGAGGAGGGCCCACCAGCAGTCGACCCCCACGGCCCCTGGCACCCCGCCGTGCAGCTCGACCACGGCCTCGCGCCGTTGGCCGGGAGCTATGCCTGCCGCCGCCGCGCCGTGCATGGCTGCCCTGCTTGCCGCCAGTCTGTCGGGGTCGGCCGTCGAGCCGAGCCCCTGGACAAGCACCACGCGGAGGCAGAAGGCGAGGCTGTCGCCTCCACCTCCCCCTCCCCCTCCCGTCCGTCTCGGCACACGGGCAAGCGGGGCCCCCACCGTGGCTGCGGACGAGGGCGCGGGCGAGGAGACAAGGTCCTGCTGCCCCCCTCAGTCCAACCTGGCACGCACGGGTTCCCAGGACGCCCGCACGGCTGGGCGACCGAGAGCCCAGGCCTACTTACTCTCCAAGCGTCCCACCACGAGCCCCGCACAGCGGCTTCAAAACAGCTCCACAGTAGCATCCGCATGTTTCGCCCCGCTGCTCCTTGCAGTAAGCCCAACACGGGGGGTGCATCTCCAACACCATCGCAAACTCACGGCCGTCACATAACCAACAACCAATATTTCTGACCATGCATCCGTGTTGAAACGACCGCCAGTCATCAACCAAAGTTCCAACCCGAATTATCAACGGCCTCCGAGGCAGCGTAGTTGATAGGACAGGCCCTGCCAACGAACACTGAGTTACTGTGCTGCGCAATGGGTTGCTATACTGCGCAACAGCTGTAAGACCGTCCTATGGCCATCCAGCCTTTCCGTCGACCATTGCATTAGGTCGGGCATGTCCCCCTACAGGTGGATTCTGGGCGAAAATGAAAGGTACTCAACACAGATTCCAAAAGGATCACAAATAGTTATTTAAAAAGTCGTCCCCAGACTCTGTGTTGACTATTTTGGAATATTCCCCCTGTAGAAGGACAGGCCCGACTTACCCATTGCATCGAAAGACCCCCTTTGTGGAGGCTGCGGCCACGCCTTCTGGCCGCGGGTCGCGGAAGGGGTCCCGCCGGTGCGCCCCTGGGCTATACCCCACCCGCCGCTGCCGTGCGGGTCGGCTCTCCTCGCCGCTGCTTCGCTCTCGTGCATGCGGGACGGGAAAATGACAACAGCCACTGCTTCTTGTTTGCGCCGCCTTCCAGCCGGCCGAAAAAGAGGCAGTGGCTGTGGTCATTTCCCTGGTGCCAAGCTTCACGAAAATGACCACAACCACTGCTTTGTTTCTTCTGGCTGGACGGCGGCAACAAAAGAAAAGCAGTGGCTGTGGTCGTTTCCACGCCCCGTAGTGCAGGCTTCCTCGGCGCCGCCGTCGCCGCCCTGGCCAGGGAAGCGCTCGGTGCCTGCCCTCGGCGCCGCGGCAGCCTGCCCGAGCACACGTTCGTCCACCTGCTCCTGCTGCCTGCCAACCGGACCGCCCAACCCGACCCGAAGACCCGAATGTCGGGTTGGGTAGGGGGGGGGTGCGGGTTCCATGTGTGCTTTCCCCATGTTAGCCGACCGCCACCCACCGGAAGTGGAGGGCAGACTGAAGCCTTCGGGTTGGGTTGGGGTGGTTTGGCGGGTGGTGACCTGCTGGCCGGGCCGTGAGCCGGCCCTCGCCACGGGCGCGAGCCTCCTCTGGGCGCTGAGGCGGTGGCGTGGCTCACGCGACCTCCCCTGCTCCCTTTCAGGTCGGGCATGCCCTCCTACAGGCGGATTGAGGAGGAAGAATTCAAAATAGCCCCAACAAAAATTAGCCTGGCGAAGGACCCAACCATATGCAGTTGTGATTACCGCAAGTGTGTATAACTTTTTCGGTGGCGCTCCCTGAGGGGCCAACGAAGCGCCGTACTGGGTGGGTGAAACGCAGAGAGCAAGGGCCGTGTTGGGTGGTGGCGGACGCATGCGGGCGGTGCCACTAGGACCTTCGGTGGACCTCCTCCCTATGGGGCCACGAACCGCTGTGCTAGGCGTGAGAAACGCAGGGAGCAAGGGCCGTGTTGGGTGGTGGCGGACGCATGCGGGCGGTGCCACTGGGAACTTACTGGGTGGGTGAAACGGAAGGGAACAATGGCTGTGCTGGGTGGTGGCGGACGCATGCGGGCGGTGCCACTGAGACCTCTGGTGGAGCCCCTTTATGGGGCCACGAAACGTTGCACTGGGTGGGTAAAACGAAGGCCGCAATAGCTGTACTGGGTGGTGGCGGACGCATGCGGGCAGTGCCACTTGGACCTTCGGTGGAACTCCTTATGGGGCCACGAAACGCTGTACTGGGTGGGTGAAACGCAGGGAGCAAGGGCCGTGTTGGGTGGTGGCGGACGCATGCGGGCGGTGCCACTGGGACCTTCAGTCGGGTTCCCTGTGGGGCCACGAAACGCTGTACTGGGTGGGTGAAACGCAGGGAGCAAGGGCCGTGCTGGGTGGTGGCTGACGCATGCGCGCGGTGCCACCGGGACCTTCGGTGGAGCTCCTTGTGGGGCCACGAAGCGCCGTACTGGGTGGGTGAAACGCAAAGAGCAAGGGCCGTGTTGGGTGGTGGCGGACGCATGCGGGCGGTGCCACTAGGACATTCGGTGGACCTCCTCCCTATGGGGCCACGGAACGCTGTGCTAGGCGTGTGAAACGCAGGGAGCAAGGGCCGTGTTGGGTGGTGGCGAACGAATGCGGGCCGTGCCACTTGGACCTTACTGGGCGGGTGAAACGGAAGGGAGCAATTGCTGTGCTGGGTGGTGGCGGACGCATGCGGGCGGTGCCACTGAGACCTCCGGTGGAGCCCCTTATCACGAAACGTTGTAGTGGGTGGGTAAAACGAAGGCCGCAATGGCTGTACTGGGTGGTGGCGGACGCATGCGGGCGGTGCCACTTGGACCTTCGGTGGAGCTCCCTATGGGGCCACGAAACGTTGTACTGGGTGGGTGAAACGCAGGGAGCAAGGGCCGTGTTGGGTGGTGGCGAACGCATGCGGGCGGTACCACTGGGACCTTGGGTGGAGTTCCCTCTGGGGCCACGAAACGCTGTACTGGGTGGGTGAAACACAGGGAGCAAGGCCGTGCTGGGTGGTGGCTGACGCATGCGCGCGGTGCCACCGAGACCATCGGTGGAGCTCCCTGTGGGGCCACGAAACGTTGTATTGGGTGGGCGAAACGCAGGGAGCAAGGGCCGTGCTGGGTGGTGGCGGACGCATGCGCGCGGTGCCACTGGGACCTTCGGTGGAGCCCCCTTTTATGGGGCCACGAAACGTTGCACTGGGTGGGTAAAACGAAGGGAGCAATGGCTGTATTGGGTGGTGGCGGACGCATGCGGGCGGTGTCACTGGGACCTTCGGTGGAGCTCCTTATGGGGCCACGAAACGCTGTACTGGGTGGGTGAAGCGCAAGGAGCAAGGGCTGTGCTGGGTGGTGGCGGACGCATGAGGGCGGTGCCACTAGGACCTTCGGTGGAGCCCCGTAACGGGGCCACGGAACGCTGTACTGGGTGGGTGAAACGCAGGGAGCAAGGGCCGTGTTGGGTGGTGGCGGACGCATGCGGGCGGTGCCACTGGGACCTTCACTGGAGCTCCCTATGGGGCTACGAAGCGCTGTACTGGGTGAATGAAACGCAGGGAGCAAGGGCTGTGCTGGGTGGTGGCGAACGCATGCGGGCGGTGCCACTGGGGGCTTCGGTGGAGCTCCCTCTGGGGCCACGAAACGCTCTGCTGGGTGGGTGAAACGGATGGAAGAAGGAGGATGGAGGGGAGAAGGGGGAGGAGGGGGAGAAGGAGGAGAGGAGAAGAGGAACGCGGGGACCGTCTCTTCAAGAGGAGGACCCAACACCGCAGGATGATTGGGAAATATGCAAAAGTAATCAAACAAATAATCGAAAAGTCGTCCCCGTATTATGTCTGGGCTAGGTTTGAATTTTTCTCCTGCTGAGGGACGTGCCGGACTGAATGCTCCCTCCATCTCCTCGCTGGTCGAAGGGGCGCCCGGGGTCTTCCGCCCTGTCATCAGCGCGATAAGGAGAGGCATTCGTTCTCCACAGAGGCCGGCGTTCTGCTGCTCTCTTTCGTGTGGACGCCCAGTCTGGGTACGGGAAAGTATGGATCGGAAGCTGGTTGGGGGACCCCGCGCCGATCGGCAAGACAACGAATAACAAACCGATCACCAACATAGGGGTGTTTGCCTCCACAGGGGCAAGAGGTGATCCTGGATCTCGGCGCTGGTGGAAAAATATCTCGGCCACCTCGGAAGTCCGAAGATGACCACCATCACCGGGATCGGGACCTTCTTCCCTGAGTCGAGGCACACCGCCGATATCTTGCCGTCGCTCGGACGTACATTTCCCGTGCATGTTTCGGTTTCGTGCGTGTCTGTTTTGCTCGATGGTCCAGGATGGTCCTGGATGGTTCCCGCCGAGAAAAAAAGGCACACGTCCGAGCGATGCCAGGATATTGGAAGCAGAAGACACGCCATGAACATCAATTTCTGGCGCTCCGCGCGGATTTCCTGGCCCTGCGAAGGGCCCCCCTTCCTCGGCGCGCGGAGCGCGCCAAGGGGCGGCGCGCGGGGGGGGGGCCGTCGCGGATCCAAGGAATCTCTGCGCGGAGCGCCAAAAGTTTATGTTTGTGGCGGTTCTTCTTCGAGATGGTGGTGCTGGTGTCAACCTCTAGGCTTAGGTCGGGCGTGTCACCCTACAGGCGGATTCTTGTGGACGCCATGACAATGGACACCCTAACAATACCACCATGGAACAACATACAAAATGTGCTTACAAGGTTTGAACATGCTATGAAAAGATGTTAAAACGATGATTCGTTACATCTTCAGCATGTGTTTAAGACATGCTCTAGACATCTGGAAGGTATTTGGCAGCCTGCTTCCTCTCCATTGACCGTCCTCCACAATCCTTGTCCTAGCGCAACCCCCCTCCAGCACCACCCACAACGATCAAACTTAAGAAATTGGTCCCAGCTTTTTCGAATTCCCTATTTTCGTTTAAGAAATTCTGAGACCCAGCTCAAAAAAGTGAGTTTCTTAACAGACGACATGAGTGTATCTTCCCCTCCCCCCCTTACCCGTCTTCCTGCTAACGCGATGGCACGGGAGCGCCCGCCGCCCCAACTCGTGGCCCTGGCTCCTCCTGCCACTCCGCCTCCCCCTTGTCGAGCTGATTGATCACGCGGACGGCTCAGAACAGCAGCCGTCATCCCTCCTGCTCCTCCTCCTCCTCGTCCTCGACTCCTCCTCCTCCTCCTCCTCCTCCTCCTCCTCCTCCTCCTCCTCCTCGTCTCCCTCCTCCTCCTACTGCTCCTCCTCCTCCTCCTCCTCCTCCTCCTTCTCCTCCTCCTCCTCCTCCTTCTCCTGTGCTTTGCCCCTCCAACTCATCCTCATCCCGTTCCCGATTACCATTATGCTTCACCTTATCCGCCCCGCTCCTTCTGCTCCTGTTGCTCCTGCTCACCCTACTGCTCCTCGCACCTCTCTTCCTCCCCTGCCGGGCTGCCTGATCACGCGGAGGACGAAGAACAGCCAGAGGGCGTGCAGCAGGAACACCGGAGTTATCGCTACGAGGAGGTAATGCTGGTGCCTGTCCTCCGTGATGAAGCGGTTAACCTGCACGGCTGCAGATACACAGTGGAACTAAGGAGGAGCAGGACGAGGAGGAGGGAAGAAGAACGAGGATGAGGGAGGAGGAGGAGGAGGAGGAGGAGGAGGAGAAGGAGGCAAAGGATGAGGAGGAGGAGGAGGAGGGAAGGAGGAGGAGGAGAAAGGGAGCAGCAGGATAAGGAGGAGGAGGACGAAAGTTAGGGAGGGAGGAGGAGTGAAAGGAGAAGGAGGAGGGGAAGGAGGAGGGGAAGGAGCAGGGAGAGAAGAGAAGAGATGCACGAAGAGCCGCAGGGAGACAGACCTCATCAATAAATGTGTTTGATGGGCCAGGCAGCCAGGCGGCCGAGATGCCAGAGGCCCGAGCAAAAGCCACGTGAGCATCCATGAAATAGATGAGGAGGTAGAAGCGGAGCAAGGAAGGGGAGTAGAAAGGAGAAGGAGAAGACTGGCGTAAGCAGCAGAGATAGCGGATTCGCCCGTAGACATCGAGATCGGGGTCTGGGCCTACTCTAAGATGGGCCAGCGAGCCTCGTTCCACAATGTGTTTCTATGGGTGCAGGCTGACAGCATCGAGCGGATCGGGAACCTAACCTTGGTGGGCTTGGTACTAAGGCTCTGCTGGCCGTTCGCATTTGACAGAAAACACGCGTCACGCTGTCTGTCACGCCGTCACGTAACAGTACTATCTCAGGCCGCATGGAGCATTACTACTGGGCCTGATATACAAAACCAGTTGACACCACCATCTCCAGCATCAACAGATGTCACAAGACAAATGCGCAGACCTGTTGTGGAACTTATGTTGCATCCTCGGGGGACCATGTCTGTCCCGTCGAGGCTGTGTCCGCGTCGAATCCATGTCGAATCCATGTCGGACGCGTCGGATCCGTGTCGAATCCGTGTCGAATCCGCGTCGAATCCACGCCAAATCCGCGTCGAGTCCGCATCGAGCACGCGTCGGGCCCCCAAAAAGACACCCATTTTTGGGACAGGCGAGATCCTCCGAAGATGCAACAGAATGGAACTCTACCGATGCATTAGGAATTCGAGGTAACTGAAGATGGGCCGTGGAAACGACCGGCCATCTTTTACCGGCTCTACTTTTCAAAGTGTTCAGAGGGTCTTCCGGTTCCGTCGCCGTTTCCTCTCTGGATCCGTCGCTGTTATTGCTGCGGCGCTGGTTCCGGCTCCGAGTTGGGCGCCGTTTTTTGTTTCCCCCTCGGTGGACCGTGTCTTTGCGGGCAATGTCGTTATCCACATCCAGTGCGTCTTGAAGTTTCGGACACTCTTCCCAAGAAACATGAGGCGCACTGGATATGGATTATAATCTGCCTCCAAAAGGCTCAATTTTTATCCATGTCCAGTGCGCCTCGGCCTTGCGGCGCCCCTTCCGAGAAAGTCCAAGACGCACTGGATATGGACATAAATATTGCCCGCAGTCTTGGCGGAGTCATACTCAAGAGACGGGTCTTCGGAAGGGGTCAAGAGCGGCTCTGCCTCTCCAGGCTGGGCCCGCCGGGCTCTCCACCAGCCCTCCAGACGGGAAACACACGGCCACGGCAGCATCGAAGATTGCGTGCGCCCTTTCGCCGCTGAGGTGGGGCATCCATACGAATGTCTAGAAGGGAGAAAAACATAAACATAAACTTTTGGTGCTCCGTGCGGATTCCTTGGATCTGCGCTGGACCCCCCTCCCTGGCGCGCGGAGTGCGCCAGGGACGGCGCCAGAGGCGCCGCCAGTGGGGCCCAGCGCGGATCCAAGAAATCCGCGCGGAGCGCCACAAGTTTATGCGTACGTGCTTTCTCTTCGAATGTCTCGACCGTTGGCCTTTGGCTCCTGCTCTGCTCGTCGGCGCCGCACGGGCGCATCCGCGCTCGGAGCCCACCGCGTCAGGCTCCTGGAGGAGGCGAGCGAGGCCACGGTGCCCTGGAGTTGGGTCTGGCACGTCCCCTCCAGGCGGATTTTGGACGAACAATGAAAATACCCCACGCATGTGCTTTATAATTCAGAACGTAATAAAAAATACATTGAGACTATGGTTTGAATATTTGTATCTATATCTGTATATATATGTATATATACATATACATGTGTGTTGATACATTTACATCATGTATGCATACAATCTACTATATATACATATTTACACGCCATATATGTGTACATATATGTATTATACATATGTATACATGCCTCCTGTAGAGGGACAGGCCCGACTTCAGCCCAGAGCCTCCCCCCGTCTCGCGCACCCGCTTCCCCCCCCCCCCCCCCCCCCCCCCCCCGAGCAGCACAGAGAGCACGTCGCGCGCACGGACCTGCCGACGGGTGGCAGGCAGGAGGACATCCGAGGGGAAACCCGTCGGAGGACGGAAGGAGGAGGAGGAGGATGGGGTAAGAGGAGGAGGAGGAGGAGGAGGAGGAGGGGGAGGAGAAGGAGGAGGAGGAGGGGGAGGAGAAGGAGGAGGAGGAGGAGGAGGGGAAGGGTGCGGCGGGGGGGGGGGGGCGGGCGGACGGGGGAGGAGGGGAATGGAGAGACTGGCAACACGTGCTCCAGACGGGAAGAGGACGCAACAGGCGAAATACGGGACACCATCCGAGAGGAAACACCCGCCTGTTCCGGCGGCAGCCCTTGCTCCAGACGGGAAGAGGACGCAACAGGCGAAGTACAGGACACACAGGGGGCGTACTCGTCCGGCCCGACTGTGAGGCCTGCAGCGGTTGTAAACACAGGGAGCGAGAGAGAGAGAGAGAGAGAAGAGAGAGACAGAGAGACAGAGAGAGAAAACAGAAAAGAGAGACTGGAGGATAGAACCCATAGCATGAGCGTCGTCCACAAGGGTGCCAGAGTGTACGTGCTTAGCACCATGACGAGGTCACCCCAGCTTCTTTTGGAGCCGTCCTGAGCAGCGCTTTGTGTCCCTCTGTCTGCGTCTCACGCTTTCTCGCTCTCTCTCTCTCTCTCTTTCTTTCTCTTTCCCTCTCTCTCTCGCTCTTTCTCTCTCTCTCTCTCTCTTTCCCTCTTTTTCCCCATCTCTCTCTATATATATATATATAAATATCTTTTGTTTCTCTCTCTCACTCTCTCTCTCTCTATTTTTCTCTCTCTCTCTCTCTCGTTTTCTCTCGTTTCTCTCTCTCTATATATATATATACACATATATCTATATGTACACACACGTGTGTGTGTGGGAGGGGGATATACACATATATGTGTACACACACACACACACACACACACACACACACGCGTGTGTGTGTGTGGGGGGTGTGGGGGGGGCATTGTACTTTCGAACACCTCCCCAGGACCTCCCCCCCGTGGACCCCAAAAAACCCGTCCACGTGCCCCCCCCCCCCCCTTTCCCCTTTCCCTGGACCTGCCCGTGGCCAGCGATCTGGACCTCCCCTGGGCCACCGAGACCAGCTCCCACTCGACTCACCACCTGCCAGAAACTTCTCAGTTCCTCCTCCTCCTCCTCCTCCTCCTCGTCCTCCTCCTCCTCTTCCTCCTCCTCCTCCTCCTCCTCTTCCCTCATGACCTGCCAGTGACTCGTCAGGGACTTGCCCGTCACCTGTCAAAGACTTGTACTTGACCTTTCAAAGGACTCTCAGCGGCCGGTACGAGCTGTCAGCGGCCTGTGAGTGACCTGTCAGCGGACCTGCCAGTAGACCTGTCAGTGATCTATCATTTGATCTGTCAGGGCCATGTCGGTGACCTGTCAATGACCTGTCGGTGCATCGTCAGTGACTTCTGAACGACCTGCCAATGGCCTGTCAGTGACCTGTCAGTGAGCTGTCATTGACCTGTCATTGACATGTCAGCGACCAGCCTGGGGATCTGTCGGGGACCTGTCAGGGAACTGTCAGCCACCTGTTAGTGGACCTGTCAGTGACCTGTCAGTGCCCTGTCCGTGGCCTGTCAACGGGGAGGGTCAGATTAAGGCATTGGGGTGGAGGCGTAAGTTGCGGTCCCACCCCCATCCCCACCGCCACCACTGACAATCCACCGACAGTTCACTGACAGGTCCCTGAGAAGTCGCTGACAGGTCGCTAACAGGCCACTGACAAGTCTACTGACAGTTCCACTTGCCGGTCACTGAAAGTCATTGACAGGTCACTGACCAGTCACTGGCAGCTTTCTGGCAAGTCCACTCACAAGTCCACTGAAGTCACTAACAGGTCCACGATCAGGCCACTGACAGGTGACCGACAGTGCCCTGACAAGCTGCTGACAGGCCACTGACAAGCCAATGACAGGTCGCTGACAGGTCGCTGACATTCAGCCGAACAGCAGACCGCCGACACCCGCTCCCCCTTCTCCCCATCACCTCGCCTTCCCCTCCCTCCTCCGTCAACGCATTGGCTGCACGTGGGACCCTCTTGCAGCCTCTTGGGCTCCTGACCCTCCTCCTCCTCCTCCTCCTCCTCCTCCGCCTCCTCCTCCTCCTCCTCCTCCCCCTTCTCAACATCATCCTCATTCTCCGCGTTCTCCTCCTCCTCCTCCTCCTCCTCCTCCTCCTCCTCTTGCGGCTCATCCTCTTGATCGTCTCACCTTCCCTCCAACAGTTCGAGCCCTTATTCCAATCCCCTTCACTCGAATCCTCGCCCCCACCCCTCTGCGTCCTTCGGGGCGTGCTCGTCGCTGTCCTCATCCTCCTGGCAGGAAAGGGAAGAATGAAGAAGTTACGGAAAGAAGATCCCTTCGAGACGGGGGAGGGGAATCAAGACAGGGATAAGACGAGAGGCAGCGAGAGAGAGAGAGAGACAGATAAAGATGCAGAAACACAAACAGCAACGATTCCACATAAGAAACGATGCCGAGAAGAAAAGCAAGCAGACGGAATGGAAGGTGATAATCGTTGTGTTCTAGCCCACGTGTGAAGCTCGCAACTAGAACAAGGAGGCAGTCGTTCCTGCTCGCCCAGCTCAAGTGGATAAACACTGCTGACGCTGTGTGCATGTGGATGCGCGCGTAGCCATGGTTGCACATGGGCGCGTGTACGAAGTTGTGTGTCACTGTGTGTGTGTGGAGAGGGGGGGTCCACGAAAAAATGCGCATGGACGATGACGGCCTCGAATGCCACACTCAAGTTCCATTGCGACGTTTGGCGCTATACACGCTAGAAAACAGAAGGCTGCATGTACCCACGTGCCGCCATTATGAGTGTCAACGTCAGAATCAACGTCAATGTCAAACGTCAAAGTGTGTCGAGACCAAATACATACCAACAGTGTATAGATGACACGTTGCCGCAAGTTCGGCCCCAGTAGGTGGTGAAATCATATCAGCCCGCGCAGCTTTGGCGGCCAACTTGCAGCGAAGAACAACTGAAAAGACGGGTCGTGCAATACTGGGGACATCCAAGCACTCGCCAGGCCTCCAGATTTCGTTATTTGGGCTTCGATTCACAATTTGGTTTTCGATTCCAAAGTTGCGGACAGCAGTCAACAAGACCAGCGAATGTCTGCTCACACAAACATTAGACTGGGAGAGCGTATGAATACTGCCGCGACATTAACGTGTATGGCATGCCACACGTAGCATGGAGTCACGATGCCTGCTCGGACGCCATTGCTTGTTGTCCATCCTGCTCATGGTCTGGCTGTGAAAACGCCCCAGGCGCACAGAAACAAATCTGCCCATACCCTTCAAGCCGACCGCGACCGAGCGCGTGGACCTCAAGCGGATGGAGCGCGGACGACTGATTATCTCTTAGACAGGGAGGTGCGCCTTCCAGACCTGGGCGTCGCCTACAGACTCGTGACGGCCACATGTTCCTAAGTCTTGGTCCCTGCAAACCGTCTCCTGGCACCCGCCGCCGTCCAAAAACGACTTGGGACGAAAAGGGAAGTGGTCGAGATGCCGGGAGGGGGCCACACCCTCAGCTGCCCCGATACGCAACACACACACACATACACATGTAGCGTGTTGACGCTGAAAACGCAGGTCTAGCGCGATACGTTCGTCAAAGCGTGAACCAACACGTGCCGAGCCAACATGCAGCGTGTCAACACGGACGCTTCGAGCGCGGCACGCCTTGCGTTTCAGCATGGGCGTCTCGGGGCAGCCCAGGCCACACCGCGACGAGAGCGGCGCCGGACGAGAGGGGAGGCAGAGCCGAGGCGGGCAGCGCTTCCGCCAGCCCGAGGCTCCGAGAGAGGACGAGCGGGGCGACCCGGGGGGGGAAGCGCGAAGGGAGCGAGGGGCGGAGGGCGACGAGGGGAGGAACCGGCGGAGGAGGCAGACGAGCCCGACGGCGGACGCGCGAACGGCGCCCATGCAGAGTACCATGTCTGGACTTGCTTCGTGCCCCGCTCCAGCGCGCGGTGCGGTGCCCGGTTGTCTGGCTCTGCGGGCCGATGGAAGCTGTGCACCTCACCGCTCGTGGATCGAGGATCGACTGCGCCTCGAGGGGCGCCAGCCGCAGTGCGGTACGGTGCACACGTGTCGTCTCCACGGAGTGGAGAGGCGGCGGGCAGGGCAGGGAGAAGGGAAAGCAGCGAAGCAGCGACTGGCGAAGGGGACGGGGCAGATGCTGTGCGGGCCCACCCTGACGCGCGGGCGCTGCCATACAGCATCCTACATTCTGGGATGAGCGCCGGCGCGACTGGATGCATGGACCAAGGGCGCATCCAATGCAACTCGGGCCGAAGAAGGCCGCTTCGGAGAATCCCAGCGCCTCCATTGAAACTCTCGACGAAGCACAACTTCTGGAGCGCAGACCCAGGTTTTGCACCGTGAATTCTCTCAACGGATGCAAAGGCAGATCGGAATGGCGTCAAGCTGCGTTCACGGCAGTACTGCTTACCAGAGGAGGGCGGAACGGACAAGGAACGACCCTGTTGACAAGCAAACCCGATTCTCTAACGAGGGTGAGGGGGGGCACGACGAAGAAGGACCCGGATCCAGAAATTTTGTCCACGCTGGAGCGAGAGAGCCATTCTGAACGACGGGGCAAAACGCCGATCCTGAAATGAGGCCAACGCTGAAGCGGGAGCGCCATGTCGAGGAATAAATAGCAATAAGGAACAAGCAAACAACACACTAAACTGGTAAAAAAACAAATCCGACCTAAACGATTTCGAAATCCTTTGGGGTGAAAGTATGAGGAGGGACGGCGCACCGCTCGCACAGACGCTGGGAAGCTGGGAGAGTAGCACCTGCATTCCCCAAACAGGGCTTGCACTTAGGGCTTCTCACTTCTATACTAAAGAACTGGGTCTGGCTGGTGGTCTGGCGGCTCCGTGCTCGCCGCCCCATCGCCGCCTCGTCGCCGCCCATCGTCTGGGCCTGAAGGTCGGTCTGGCGGCTATGTAATCGCCGCCGCCGCCCCGGCGCCGCCTCGTCACCGCCCGTCGTGCGGGCCTGGCTGGCGGTCTGGCGGTTCCTGCTCGCCGTCGCCGCCCCGTCGCCGCCGAGACTGCACCGCATGGCACCGCCTAGGTTGCACAGCATATATTTCCTTTCTGCCAGATAAATTAAGATCTACCACTCCCCGGGGCCAGGATTATCGATCCCCTCTCGGGATGTGCAACTTACATACGATTCTGCCCAATCGTTCATTCTAGAGATGAACTCATACCACCCCAGCCAGGCCCAATTCGACACCCCAAACCATCAGGTGCACTATGCGCGCATACTGGCTTATTACACATCATCAATTTCCTAGAGCCCCTCGAACAATTACTCCGACGGAAGGACCCCACATGAGAATCCTCTGGGCGAATCTGGAAAAAGCCCTCACCGTCGTCCTCGTGGTTGGTGAAGCGTCCTGGCTGTCTCTTCTGCGTATATTTTTTCTCGCCCTGGCGCGGGCCCTCCCCCCGCTCCCTACGTTGCCCCCGACCTCGCCCTCCTGCTTTGGCTCCGGACATTCAGAAAATGGCCCGGGAGTGGTGTTCTGGGAACACGAAGAACACGAAATGGCCTACAGTTGGCTCCGGGCATTCAAAATGTGGCCCGGGAGTGGTGTTCTGGGAGCACGAAGAACACGAAGTGGCGTACAGTTTGGCTCCGGGCATTCAAAATGTGGCCTAGGAATGGCGTTCTGGCACCGCGAGAACCCAAAAGTGGCGACATTTAAAGGAATTGGATGACCCGCTCGGATTAGTAACATGATCCGCGGGCCCCATAGGGAGGGGGTTCCCGCTTGAGACTTCCTCGCAATTCACTCACAAATGTGTCCTGGAAATGGCGTTCTAGCAGCGCGAGAGCCCGAAAGTGGCAACACTTACAAGAAGTGGATGACCCGCTCGGATTAGTAACATGATCCGCGGGCCCCATAGGGAGGGGGCTCCCGCTTGAGACTTCCTTGCAATTCACTCACAAATGTGGCCTGGGAGTGGCGTTCTGGCAGCGCGAGAGCCCAAAAGTGGTGACATTTGAAGGAATTGGATGACCCGCTCGGATTAGTAACATGATCCGCGGGCCCCATAGGGAAGGGGCTCCCGCTTGAGACATCCTCGCAATTCACTCACAGACGAGGCCCAAGGCGAGTGAGTGAGTGAGTGAGTGACTGATTGACTGACTGGTCATCACACTCTCTCACGCGCACACGCATCATCATCATATGTGAGTTCATGAGCGTGTGAGTGAGTGAGTGCTGATAAGTCAGTGAGTGAGTGAGGTGAGTGAGTGAGTGAGTGACTGACTGACTGAGTGAGTGTGTGAGGGATGCTGAGTGAGTGAATGAGTAATGAATGATGATGGTGGTGGGTTCCTGTTCCTGCGCGAGGTGTCCAGAGAAAACAAGAACCCCTTCTGTGGATGTGGGGAAAAAACTGTGCGACATGCACACGCGCGCGTCGTCAGGGGCATGCCGAAATCCGCCAAGAAACTTCAGGTTTCGGACGAGTTCCCAAATCGAGCGTCCCGAAACATTCAAAGACACGTGGTTTCGCACCACGTCTTTTCAAACCAAAACTGGCGGAGGACCAAACCATGGGCAGATGTGAATACCGAATTGTGGTTATCGCCTTCGGTGGAGCCTTATGGGGCCACGACAAGCTGCACTGGGTGGGGGAGACGCATACGAACTGTGCCACTGGGACCTTCGATGAAACTCCCTCTGGGGCCACGAAGCGCTGAACTGGGCGGGGGAGACGCATGCGATCTGCGCCACTGAGACCTCCGGTGGAGCTCCCTATGGGGCCACGAAACGCTATACTGGGTGGGGGAGACGCATGCGAACTGCGCCACCGGGACCTTCGGTGGAGCTCCCTTTGGGGCCACGGAAAAGCTGTACTGGGTGTGGGAGACGCACGCGAACTGCGCCTCTGGAGCCTTCGGTGGAGCCCTTCGATGGAACTCCCTCTCAGACCTTCGATGGAACTCCCTCTGGAGCCACGAAGCGCTGTACTGGGTGGGGGAGACGCATGCGAACTGCGCCACTGAGACCTCCGGTGGAGCCCGCTATGGGGCCACGAAAAGCGGCACTGGGTGTGGGAGACGCATGCGAATTGCGTTTCTGGAACCTTCGGTGGAGATCCTTCTGGTGCCACGAAATGCCGTACTGGGTGGGGGGAGCGCACGCGAATTGCGCCATTGGGACCTCGGGTGGAGCTCCCTTTGGGGCCACGACACGTTCATCGGGCGGGGGAGACGCATGCGAACTGCGCCAGTGGAAGTTTCCGTGGAGCTCCCTATGGGGCCACGAAATGCCGTACTGGGTGGGGGAGACGCATGCGAACTGCGCCACTCAATCCTTCCTTCGGTGGAGCACCTTATGGGGCCACGAAATGCTGTACTGGGTGGGCATGCGAACTGCGCCATTGGAACTTTCGGTGGAGCTCCCTCTGGGGCCACGAAATGCCTGGGACGTCCGGTGGAGCTCCCTATGGGGCCACGAAACGCTGTACTGGGTGGGTGAAGCGCATGCGAACTGCGCCACTGGGACCTTCGGTGGAGCCCCCACTTGGGGCCACGAAGCGTTGTAGTGGGCGCTGGGAGGCAAGGATGGGAGGAGGGAGGAGGGTGCAGCGGGAGGAAGGACGCGGGGCGCTGTCTCGTCAAAACGAAGACCCAACACCACAGGATAGTTGGGGAAAAAATCTGCGTGCTCTTGGGAATTGCTTGTCGGAAAAACCAATGGTCTTCCACATGTTCAACACATGCGCCACAGCGGGCCTGTCGCGCGCGCGCACGTCGAAACCATTCGAACGCGCTTGCGCGCGTGCTGGGGGGGGCACGACCCCTGTCAAATAATACCACGTGGGCTACTCGAGCCCGCCGGCCGCGCGCATACCAAAATTTTTCCAAAACCTTCATCACCGACGCGTGGACATCATCACCGTCATCAGCATGATCGGCATCGGCGCCGTCATTGGCCTTGCCGTCGTCACCGTCATCGTCATCATCATCGTCGTCATCAGCACCGCTACAATAAGCATCGTGTCTGCCGTTGTCGACGGGAGGCGGGAGGGAGGCGGGAGGCCGGTGTGTGCTCGAGCGCGTCCTGCACGGGCTGCCGTTGTCGACGTCGCCAGGATGCCGCGCCCACCCGACTCACCGACTCGTAGTGAAGTGCCCGCGCGTTAGCGCGGCCTGCGAGACGCGCTGGGAAGTCCCCAGCGGTCAGTGCCACCGCGGCCGCGTCGGTCGCGCCACACTGGCTGACCGCTCTGCGCGCGAGCCTGCACCCGCTAGAGCGGCCGCAGCGACGCGCCAGCCAGCGCCAAGCAGTCATCGCAATCACCGCCGCATGGGTTTTGTAAACTAAGTTGCGGGCGGGTGGGTGGGGTGATTGCGCGAGCAGTGGAGTTGACAACTTCAAGTTCGACAGTGTGGAATGCACCACGTAGATTGCACCACGCAGATTGCACCGCACAGATTGCACCACGTGTAGTGCACCACCTAGTTTGCACCACCCAGCTTGCACCACACGTATTGCACAAGCTGGATTACGCAGCCACCTAGATTGTGCCACCTAGTTTGCACAACCGATGCCGCATAACATATAAAGCACAACATGTATTGCACCGACGATGACGATGACGATGACGATGACGATGTTGATGACGATGACGACGACATCGTCATCGCCATCGTCGTAGATTGCACCACGTAGGTGGCTCTACCCATACTGCAGAACAGCGGCTGACTGTCTGGGGCTAACGCTGGCCAACATCCGGTAATTGTGGGGCGGGTGCTCCCGCCCCAAATGGTAGGGTCAGGTCGGGCACGTCCCCCTACAGGCGGACCTTGGACGGAAAATCACAAGGAGCCACAACACATACATCAGAAATGGTCCAACGTACTCCAAACATCGTCCCCTTACTATTGCTTTTCTTTGGACATTCCTCCTGTAGAGGGACGTGCCCGATTCAATTGTAGGGACGGGGCGCAATAAGGAGAGGAGGCACGAGGCGGAAAGAAGCAGACGGGGATGGGAGGTTTCGTCATCCGCCCAGCCAAAGGAGCTGCAGTCCTCGTCCGTGCTCGTGCCGCCGAAGCCGAACGTCTCCTCCTCGATGTCGGTCTTGCGCAGGTCTAGCTTGAGCAGGAGCAGGGCGATGACCAACAGGGAGGAGGAGAAAGCGGGGTCATCAGCGACCCAAGCGAGCTGAGGACAAGGGAGCAGTGCCCAAAGCGACTGTTGTTCCTTTCCAATTGTATGAGAGCTCGTGTAGAAGCACGAGCATACGCACGCGCACCCGAGCGAACATGCGTCCGCGGTAGTCGGACCAAGGCCAGAAAAACATCCTTCAAGAACAAGACACCCTCCCCAAGCAAAAACACACAGAACATCCAAGGGCATCCTCCCTAGGATGCATCAGATCATCAAACACGCACGAAACAGCATAGGATATCCCCCCCGAACCCACCTCGGTCTCATACCTCGGTCCGACTCTACGCACACACGTCGAACAAGCAGCGCAGACTCGCACTCTCCCTTGGCCAACCTCGAGCCAGGCGTTCGCCGCTGCTGACGAGGCGGCAGGTGCGCGGCAGGCCCAACGCCACGGCCAGGCAACAGTCACGAACAGGGGGGCACCCCTGATACAGTGCCAGCGAGGCTCGGGGCTCTACTGGCCCGGGTCCATCCAGACCCTGGCCAGTCAGGCTCTGCAGGACCCTGCAGGATCCTGCAGGATCCTGCGCCCAAGCCCGGGTCGATGCAGCCCTGGCTCCTTGCAGGATCCTGCAAGACCGGGCGCTCCGACTGTCCCCCGTTTGCAATTGAACTCCCGTCCCTCGAGCCCCGAGAGGCGTGGGCGCCAGCAGCACCAGGGGCGGCTACCTGCCCTGGCAGAGGGAGCACGCCGTGTGGCGTGGGCTGCGTCGGGACCTCGAGGGCCCGTCTGCGGCCAGTGGTGGCGTGGGGCACGACGCCTCGTGTCGCTACAGCAGGGTCGCGAAAGATCGTTTTTTTTGTGCTGGAAGACCTCGCGAGCCGTCACAGCTGGCACCAGGGCCACCCGAGGAAGCACCCGGACCAAAACTGAGACATCTGGAAAGTCTGGCCATGCTCTCGAAGCCCCCTCTCCAAGCGAGCGGGGCAGGAAAAAGAGAACCCGTGGACAGAATGCATGGACGGCAAGGTCGCGGAAGAGCGGGTTGCGCACCTGCGCACATGGACCCGAAGGCGAGGAGGAGGAGGGGCAGAAGCGCCCGGAACACGAGGCACCTCATGCACCGTGCCGGGCCCCGTGCAACGTGACAGCGCGTCTGCGGAAGGGGCGTAATCCTGCCCCCCTGGCGCGCGACGGCACGAGATCCCAACGGCGCCCCCCGAAGCAGGAGACAAGGAATCTGGGGAAGAGGCGATGCTTCCGGGACGGCCCAATATGGCTCCAGGACGGCTCAAGACCGCCTCCAGACGGCCCAGGGGGCACCCAAGACGACCCGAGAGGCCACCAAGAGTACCTCAAAGGGCCGGATCCGCGGCGTCGGTCCGAGGGACGATCCTGAAGTTTTGAAGGCTGGGCATTGGCTCGGCCGCATGCGCGTCGGCGTCGGCCGAGGTGCTCGCCCAGCGTGACAGGCCCTAGAGACACAGGGAGTGACATCAGCAGCATCAGCAGCCTCCTGATCCTCCTCCTCCTCCTCCTCCTCCTCCTCCTCCTCCTCCTCGTCCTCCTGCTCCTC